GACACCGACTCGGAGGGCTGAGAGCGAGCCTGGCGCTGTTTCAGGGACATCGTGCAGAGATTTCTATTTTTGAAGTGATTAAATGAAAAAGGCTGCAGCCCCGCGGGTGCCGGGGCAGTGTGGCAAAGGGCATTAAGGCTGTGGTGCCTGCAGCCCCTTCAGCGCCCTTCTCCTCACTCCTGAAATCCAGGCAGGAGTGAGGATGCTGTGGGTGAGGGCTGAAAATGCTGTGGATACCTCGTGTTTATGGATAGAGACTTCTGAAGAGATTATTATTATAATTATTGTTATTATGATGGGGTTTTGTCTTCTTTCTCTGCCCGTGCAGTGGCTGAAGAGTTTTCTTTAAAGATTCCCTAAGTTCATCAGTGCATGGGTGGGAGTTTAAAGCCCATCTAGCTCCTGTCTAGGGACACCTTCCCCTGTCCCAGCCTGGCCCTGGACACCTAAATAATAATAAATAATAAATAATTCCTCAATTTACAGGGACAAAGTGGATGGGACCAGGTGCCTCCATAGGCTCTGCCCTGGCCACAAACCCCAGGGAGCAGCAAACTCCCTTCCCAACCCTCAGCACGTGATTCTTGATGTTCTTGGCACACTGAAAGGGGAATTTCACACCAATAAATGGAAATATTGATCCAAATGGAAAGGGGCTGTCCCGAGCAGCTCCGGAGCAGCTGCCAAGCACAAGGGCCTCATTTGTGTAATTAATGATGCAACTGCAGGCAGGGAGGGTTTGTGTGCCTTGGTGGACAAAAGCCCAGTGGCACTGTGCTCAGGAGCTCACAAAGCCCTTCTGTCCCAGCACTGGAGATGCTGCAGAGCTGTCACAGCCTGTGTGATCCCCACCCCACCCCAATGTGATCTTTGGGGCTGGCAGCCCCTTGGCACCAGGGCAGCTCCTGAGCCGTGCCAGGGATCCCCAGGGCACAGCTGGGCACTCCCTGGGCAGGAGCTGTGCCCCTGCTGGTGCTCACCAGGCTGAGCTTGGGGTCACCTCCATGGGATCCAAACTGGCTGGAGCCCCCTGGGAACGTCCCACTGTGGAACAGCACAGCAAGCAGAGAAAAACCCCACAAAGCCCAGAGTGCTGCTCCTCCGTGGGCTCCCACACCCCACCTTCAGTGCCAGGCTCTGGATGGATGGGTGGCAGGGCTGGCAGGGTGATGGGCACCCACAGCCCCTCAGCACAGGGACAGGGGCTGGGTGTGCCCAGAGGGAGCTGGCACTGCTGGCCCAGCTCAGTTCTGCTCTCCTGGGCTTTCTCCTGTCTCACACGCAAACCAAGATCATTTGAGAAACAGGGGAAGCCAAAACTGAGGGGGCAGAGGGTAAAGGAGCCCAGCCCCATCCCTGCTCACCCCAAAACCTCCCTGCCCAGCTGCTGCCAAGTGCCTGGGGCACTGCAGGATCCTTTGCCCTGGGCTTGAGCCACCTCCTGCCCAGCTGCTGGGTGGCCCAAACTGCAGCCTGAGAGCCTGGGACAGAGCAAAGGGCAGAGCACAGCACCCACAGCTCCAATAACATCACCACATTCCCCGTTTTCCACAGCAAATCCTGCATGCAGAGCAGCAGCATCCTAACCCAGCTGGCCCTTCAAGTTCAATTCCCTCCCAGAACAGGAATAAAGAGCTGTCCTGCTCTATTAGGGATGCAAATATCCTGATTCACAGCCTGAAATTCCAAGGTGGATTCCTGACTTGCAGGAGGTTTGTGATCCCAGTTTGCCCAGTGCTATTTACCCTGTACTCCTGTCCCAGGTTTCCCCGGAGGGAATTTGCTCTCTGACCTGCAGGACAGACCTTTGATCCTGCAGCTTTCCAGTGCAAGGGGGGATCTGCAGCTGCTGCAGCAGGAGAGCAGCCAGGAGCTGGCAGCAGCCTGAGCCAGGGAAGGCAGCAGGATCACCCAGAGGAGGAGGAGGAGGAGCTCTGTCCCAGATCCAGACAACTGCAGAAAGGGAAAATGCAAAACAAAGCACTCAGCAAGGTGGAATTCCTTTTTTCCCCCTCACAAAACTGCTCATTCACAGATCTGTAATTAACTGGGACCAGCAGGAGGAACAACCCAAGAAACTCAAGCTGTGCTGCCCCAGAGGCATCAAAGTGACTCCAGCAGGGTCCAACAAACCCCAGCCACCATTTCA